TTGATTTTATTAGAAAATTAACGATACAGAAAACTCTGTAGAGTTCTGCAAATTAAAAATGTTACTTTCTTCTATTTTACTTACGATGATCTTGAGACTCTAAAGAAAACTAAAAATATTACGTTTATATCACCTAATCCGTTTGACAACTAACTAGAGTACATTGCTGTTTTGCTGGTATTGATATTTACTATTTTATTGATATATATTTACAAAACCGAACCTTTCATGCCTATTTTCTGCTGCCCAACCAATTCTTAAAACGGAGTAAGTACAATATACACATATCCACCCGTAGTACTCAAAGCGATACATGATGTATTCACTTCTACGTGCATAAAAATTAGTAACTGTACATATTGTACAAATAAATAAAAAATTGATAATGATTGTATAAAACAAATACTAACAAACAAAATTCTTTTTAATTGTAAGTCTGTATTTACAGCAACCAGACTATTTATAAAATATGTACCTTCTGTCGATAATTATTTAGCATATAAGACCAAGAAAATTGTAATTATTAGAGACGATATTAATGAAACTTTACACTTAACTAGTCTAATGAAGTTAGGTTGCAACGAAAGATTGTTAAATGAAAAGACAATACCAATGTATAAAGAAACCAACGTTTTGTTTACAATAGCTGATCTGTTTGATCTAGCAAAAACCAACATAGCTTTTGAAAATTTACATGTTGTAACATAAAAATGCAACCGTTATATCTATTGGCATAATGTCAGCTGTCCCCACGACTGCTTTTCTCCGCTGGCGTCGTAAGAAAATTATTCGGCCTTCTAACGAGATGGAATCAACAATGAAGAAGACGTTCAAGATGTAAACGCTCAGCCAACACCTGCATCCGCTTTCTCAAGACTACCTTTTATCTCGCAGGAGCCTCCAGCCTAAGGACGGAGGAGTTATAGAACAGACCCAGACGTCATGTACATAACTAGCACTTCAGGTAAGTCGAGCGGGTCAGAGGTGACAGATTATCAGCCAGCCGGATATCTAGGCCAATCAGCCCTTAGAGCAATTAGATTAATTAGACAAAGAGTCCAATTAGATAAATATATATATATATATATATATACATATATATATATGATGAGGGAGTTGTGTAGAGTAATTGAGATCACTTGCAACACAAAAATACGTTTTATTATTCAACAAAATACAAGAAAGGACAACACGATGTTAAGCCGACACGACACACTAGGCATTCGACACTTNCTAAATAAGAAAATGACGAGTGCGTTGGAAGCGTTATTAAATCAGGTAGTTTTCCTCAAATTTGCTGCCTTCTGAGACTAAAATTAGAAACTCTGGATTACTTTATACACTTTCCGATTATTTATCTACATAATCCTAAAACACCCGGTAGAAGAAGAAGAAAAACAAGAGGTGACCCGCTGTACCTCCCTGGGCGCCTATACGGTGCCGGTGGTACTCCGTCGTCCGGCGAAAGGTTAGGCCAAAATAAACACTGAATTGTAATGATCAAAAATTAAAATGGTGGGAGGTGTCTCACCAAGGCGAGATAAAACTTATGAAAAGAGAGAGTATCGTGTTGGAGTTGGTACCTCATCTATGACCCGTGGGTTTATCCTTTCTTTGTATCTTCCTTTCTTTCCTCCCATTGTTTAATAAATTAATTAATTTTCATCAAGAATTCGTATTTTTGTTGTATTGTTTAAAGGGATTGTATTATTTTGTCAAGTTTAAATATTTTCATTTTAGAAGATAAATAATTATTGTTTTAGTTATATTAGTTTAGACCCATCGGCATCTTTTATTTAATTTTTTATCCTCACGGAATTACATTTTTTTTCGTACATCGTATAATAACATGTTTCTCGGATGTAACACTGAAATTAAACAACATGTTTTTTTACTAAATTTTACACATTCAATAGCTATTTTATAAATATGATTTTTCGATTCATAATGGGCCAATTAATACGTTTACACATTATACATACATTTTCAAACTTGACAGTGATTTACCGGCTAACATTCATTAGCTGAGTTAGACTTCAGATTTCTTTTAAAATAAATGTACAGTTGTATTTTCTTTCTAAATCTATGTAAATAGGCCCTTTCTAATTGGAACACAACAGTGATTATTAAAACTTCTGTTCTTCGTATAATTTTTTATATACTGTTATAATAAAACTTAAAATATTAATTAGTCGTATAAGTACAAATTACGTAAAGTCAAACAAAAATCTTAAATTCAAAAAATAACATCAGTTTATCATATATAAATCATATTTTCAAACTTGAGTGGAAATTTCCATTTTAAGATTTTTATCGAGACGTGCAGATGTTCAGTGAATTTTCATACTTTACGCCAAGGGCGTATTTTGTGCTTGTGATACAGTTCATTGCTAACGCGTGCAACTGCTGTCTCGCGGAAATGGACGAAAATCTAGCATGACAAGAGTACTTTTGAATGGGTGATGACAGATTTACTTTTACCTCTAATGTTAGCTTCTATATTTGCCTGGATCGGAGATTGCCACACCGAAAGGTATTTCATAGGTATTTTACACATGATATGCCCGTTGATTTATGTTCCAACGATTCATCTTGCAAGATTATTCAGCTCGCGTCCCTTAATTTCTGGGATTTTTTAACTTGGGAAATCTATCCGTGATTGTTTACGAAGCGTCAAAAGGAATATATTACTCGGTGATGATGGATCAAATTGACATGGACTTGTTACCCGACAACGAAGGCATCTTGCGAAAATTCATCTTCTATATATATTTATGCTCTTACGGTGGTTATTACACACCGATGCTGCTATTCAGATGGTTTCAGTTGTCTTTCCGCGCCATTATTGCTGTGACTTCTACTTTTTATATCTTACATTTAATCTGCACGTTGTTGGTGATTGCAGGCTGTTTTGGAATATACATTGCACGGAGCGACAAGCAATTCCTACATACGTGTTTAACGCTTATCTTGAAACATAATTTAAGACTGTTTATGATTGACGGACCGGAATTAACCGAACAAATTATGATGACCATCAAATTATTAACGCTTCTTGGGACAGTAACTTGGATGAGTTTAGCCTACGTAATTGGTGAATTATTTGAGCATACTATAGTGGATTCAATTGATGCTGCAGATAATGTACTGTTATTTTTTACGGTTGTCTTCTTTATAACTCTATTTATTGTTACTGTCTTAGAACGCGTTTTGCAGCCATTCTTAAGAAATGAAACGCCTCTCAAAACACCATATTGCAATAGCAATTTTTATCTCTGTAGCGGCAATGGTATCCAGAGGTTTATTCTTGCATGCTAGAGAAATGGAACATATATCGCAACCACGAGTGAGAGGACATTGTCAATTAAGATTTTTTAATTCTCTAGATGAGACGGTTTTCGTTAAAGCGGGACGTTTCTTTGACATTAGGATTAAACCATATGCGGCTGCTTATTTGCTCAAGATTCCAGTTAGGTCGATGATGACAATTCTAGTTACAACCAAACATAATTCGTTTAATTCAGATCTGAACCTTCATGAACTATTCTCATATTCATACATCGTACATTCGAAAAGCGTTACGGAGGAGCTGGTACAAAATCCCTTAATTGACAATTGGCAACTTAGATCGGATACTGCATATTTTTTCCTTCTGGACAGCCAACTGATAAACGTGTTAACGTTTTATAAACGAGGCAGTGTGTCTGTAATGTACAGTATGTCAAAACGACAAGTAATCTATCCAATAAAACCGTGAATTTACACTGTTGGCATACAAACGAATATAAATGAGACAGGAACTGATCCAAAAAGGCTAATGCCAGGTTATGTTTACTGTCTATTTATTCACACGCTACAAATCGATACTTCCGCAGTTAGAGGACAATTTTTTTTCAACACCTTGAAAAACGACGAGAACTATTACGCAGAAGCATTGCAAGATTTGATGTTTTCAATCGGGCAAATGATGCTGTTTGTCACTATCCTATTCTACATACGAACTGAATCTTCTGTGTCTTCAAGAGGCACGGTTTTTTCCTGGACGATGATTTTGTTCCATTTGGCACATAAAATATTGCACGATAAAAAAATGATTTTCCGCAAAGTTACTACAATCTCGTATTACACCACAGCATTCTTTCTTGTCTCCTTTTTCATTTCGGCTCTGAACTCTACACTACGCTACAATTTTACAAAATACTCGTTAAAATAAAATACATGTTTTAGATCCAGCTGTAGTTTTTTTTTGGTTTTTTTTTTTCATTGCAGCCTTACATCACACAAAAAAAAACAACGAAGTTGTGTGTTATAGCATTTGTTAAATGCCTTATTCAGAAACCTATTTGAGCAAACCGTCCTTTAACGTCTTAAGAAAAAACATTGTGTGAATAGCCATTCCTAACTATTTCTTCTGAAATCTAGCCAATGTTTCGATATCACGGCACTATAATGATCGAAATGTTGGTATGATAAAGAAAATGTTTTCTAAACCTTACATCACACCAGATCTCACCTCATGATCTTAAAATACTCATTGTTTAGAAGTATTTTGTATCTACAGTGGGTCAAAAAACTATTTGTAATTTTGTCGTAAATCTCAAACCGTTGATTGAATTGTTTGATGCTAAAATTATGGAAGGTAAAATAAAACATCTATTTATGAACGTTCCGTACAACCATTAATAAGTTACAGTGCTCACGTTTAGGGAAATATCTCTAAATCGAATTTTCCTATCCGCCGGGTAGTGCAAAGTGATGCTATAAATAATTCAAAAATCGTAAAAAGGAGGGAAATTCGAAAGATTGGGGTATAGAGGTTAGTGTCCGAGTGGATGGAGGTCTCGATAGGTCACGTCGTAGATCAGCCGGCGTATTTAGCCGAACCTCGTGGGTTCGAATCCTGCTTGTGACAGTGACTTTATTATCTCAACGAAAATTTTAATTAATTGAAAAGAATCTATTTGGTCAAGTGGACCACGAAACCTAATGAAATGCTCTAAGTAAGATTACAGGGGTTTTCATTGTTCTCTGTTAAACTACATGGTAGTAACCCTAAACATACCTAGCATAACAAACAGCCCACATCTGTAGAGCAATTATAAATTTTTATAATTCTTGCACATACAAAGCTTTTTTACTTATAATAGGGAATACTTGAATTACTATGTAGCAATTAGATTGAATTACCGTAGTACATATTGCTTGAAAAATAATTCGCATACTTTAAAATTAAATGTGGGTCTGCCTAATGCCCTGGTTGAAAGATTACTGAGATAAATAAAGTATAGCCAGATGTTAAACCTTTGTTTGTTTATTTATTTGTATTTGTTTTCTTGTAGAAGACGATGTCACCGATATTTGGACTGCAACAATTCATATGATTTTGTAAGATTTCATTCTAATTTTATTTGGTTTTAGTAGAGTTGAATAAGTTTGTTTTAAAAGTTCGTCTATTTCCGTTTGCGTTAGGTGTGCGTAATTCGTCTACAACTCATGTGCCATTCAAGTATCTTTGTTGTTCACTACGGGTGCAGGGATTTGAAGAAAGCACATCAGCACATTCCGTGTTGATATCTGGAATTGACTTTCCTGACTTTCATAAATTTGGGATCCATTTTTCCACCAGTCTTCGCCAATATTCGGGCGACTACAAAGGCACGTCTTCAATAGCATTTTTTAACTACATTACATGGTCAACTGTAGGCGATGGAGGGTTTTTTATTTTAAAACATAAAGTTTGTACAAAGTATCTTGGGTGAGTTTAGAAAAAGTGATTGGTGATTTAGTTGGGAAGTCTATACTCGATTCAATGGATACTGCATATAATGTGGTGATATTTTTTACGGTTATGTTCTTAATAACCACATTCATTGCTTGTTTCTTAGAACTTGTTTTGCAGCCATTCTTAAGAAATGAAAAGCCTCTGAAATCTCCGTTTCACTACATTGTAATATATGTAGGGGCAATGGTACTCAGAGGTTTTTACTTGCATAGTAGAGAACTAGAACAAATATCGCAACCACGACTGAGAGGACACTGTCAAATTGTCTAAAACGTACCATATGTCAGAATGACAAAAATCTATGCAATACCACCGGGAATTTACGCTGTCACATAAAAACGAATAGCAGTGAGACAAAAACTAACGCAAAATGGTTAAAGCCAGGTATTGTTTATTGCCTATTTATTCACTCGCTACAAAACGATACTTCCGCAATTGAAGGAAATTTTTTTTTCAACACCATGAAAAGCGACGAAAATTACTACGCACTAGGAGTACAAGGTTTGATGTTTTCAGTCGGGCACATGACGATGTTCGTCACTATCATGTTCTACATACAAACTGAATCTTCTGAGTCTTCGAAAGGCACGGTTTTTATCTGGACGATGATTTTGTTCCATTTGGCAGATAAAATAAAGCACGGTAAAAAAGCTATTTTCAGCAATGCTACTTCACTCACGCATTACACCACAGTATTCTTTCTCGCGGCCTTTATTATTGCGGCTATGAACTCTGCACTACGCTACAAATATACAGAATACTCTTTAAAATAAAATATGTGCTTTAGAACCAGCTGTAATTTTTTTTCATGCCAGTAATACATTACACCAATAAAAACAACGTAATTTTATGTGATAGTATTTGTTAAATGCCTTATTCAGGAAAGCAAGTTGAATAGCTTGAGTTGAATGAGCGTTAAATTCTTTTCTTAACTTTTTATTCTTCTGCATCCACCCTTAATAACTTACAGTGCTCGCATTTAGGGAAATAACTCTAAATCGAATTTTCCTATGCGCCACGTAGTGCAAAATGATGCTCTAAGTAAGATTACAGGGGTTTACGTTGTTCTCTGTTAAATTACATGGAAGTAACCCTAAACATACGTAGCAATACAAACAGCCCACATCTGTAAAGCAATTGTAATAATGCACATACTGTGATAACCAACGTCAGTAATATGGGATGTTTTCTGGGGTAGAAGCAGAACTACACGGGCATAGGAAAAATTAACTACTGTATTAAAAGGTAATAACTACAAGATAAGAGGGCTTACGGGAAATAGATTCATCAAGTATTACAATCATTCCCTTGTGAGAAGTATAGGTGTGGATGTAGCAATGGCGGGGGTGAAGGCTTTCGGTAATGTCCATATCTTGGGAAGACGGGACAAGGGGACAGCTTTAAAATTAAAATATTTAGTAATAATTTATTGGAATAATGGATATTACAATACGTTAAAAGAAAATGTGTCTCCTAATGTGCTGGTTGAATGATTACTGTTATAAATAATGTATAACCAGATGTTAAGCCTTTGTGTATTTGTTGATTTGTAGGTACTTGAATATTGTTGTAGTCTTATTTTTTTTATTTATTGAACTCATCACTATTTTGACGGCAAAGGCCAGCCCCCCACCGCGGACCGGAGAGCGTTTCTTTCAAGAACTAACGTAGTGAAGAAATTTTTTTTATAAGGCCTTTATTTTTATTTATTTTGTAAAGCCTTCATCATAGCGTCTTAAGTGTGAGAAGAGCACATATTGTTATTATATTATTTTCTCCTTTCATTTTCCTCATTGTTTTGAGTTCCTGTTCCTTGTGTCATGTCGTAATAACATTTAATATTGTTTTGAATACGTTTTATTGTTTTGTGTAATGCCTGGGTTTTTTTAAATATATTTTACCCTAAACTAATTTATTCTTGACCTGGTTTCATGTATATTTTAAGATTAGCATTTATTATTTTAAGATAAAATGCTTGTTAATGCAGACTGGATGAAAAATGCAAAACTGCACTGGACCCAACTCAATACAACTATGTAAACAAACTTTGATGTTTTATAAATAACTAAAATTTAGTTTTTCAATTCCTTCCAATTTCGCGTTCATCTACAATCACACTGCTCTAAACATAAACTTTTGAGTATTTACATTCTTACTAATTTCTAATACTTTTGGACTGCAACATATGAAGTGAAATGAAGGATTATTTTAATATTAGAATGTATTTCTAGATTTTCTTTTTTTGAGATCATTACTTGTTTTATGTTTTACGTGTAAAAAGTAATACATTTTTTTTAAAATAAGATTTTTATATCTTAAATAAAAGAAGACAAAATGAGGTACGTCGGTCTGTACCTCGACAAACGCCTGTCGTGGAATCCTCAGACCGAAACTTCAGGAGATAATGACATTATATTGAGCTCTTGCCCGACTTCTTGACAAACGTTCTAATTTACCTGTCAAAAATGAAAGCATGCTTTACAGCACTATAGTTAAGCGAGTAACTTACGGACTGGAAGGGTGGGGTTCAGCCAAACATTATTCAAACTGCTTAGTCCTTAACCCTAAGAAAAATAGTAGATGCTCCATTTTATGTATCGAACCGAACTACACATACAGCTTTACATATCCTTTTCATTAAGTGCCCGTTACAACAAATTTCACAGAAACCTCCCAACTGCCGAAAATCAGCGCATCAGAAACATCGCGTTCCGACGAATCCCTTGGAATCCTCCCGCCGACTGAAGAGACAGTGGCCGCGAGATCTCCTAGGAAGTGACGGTCATGATAGTGAAAGTGATAATGACACAAATATCAATAAACAGACAATATTTTAGTAATATTGTCGTAATACCAATGAGTATTTTCTCTACTCTTGTTTGCAATTTTGTATATATTACCTTGCTCATTGTCTCACCTACTTGAAGGTAGTTGCAATGTACTGTAAATTAAAAAAAAGAGGGTATTAATGAGATAAAGATTTTGCCATGGTAATAGTACTAATTATTACCTCCTAACATGCAGAAAAATGTGATACATGGTCTATACAGGCAGCACTCCCATAAAAATTGAGTATTACTTGTTGTAAAGCTTCTGCTCTTTCTCACTGATTCACGCTCCCTTTTACAGTCCGCCCCATCTCTTTATATCTCTCCATAATAAAATGTGAACAAGTGCTAGTTATTTTTTATATTTTTTAAGAACTTAGCACACTGTCACTTTAGCAAAGTAAATAGTAATTTTAGTAAAAAAAACTACTTAACAGATCTGTAAATTCAACGCTTCTACCACATGGTGGTGGAATGGAGAAGCATGTTACGTTGTTTAAAATGTGGAGACGAACACTTAATAAAAGATTGTCAAAAATCCGACGATAATCCGTCTTGCGCACTCTGTCGAATGAGCCACCTTACGAATAGCAAGGAATGCGAGCGGTACAAGAAAAAAAAAAGAGGAAGATAACGGGAAAAAAATGTTCAGAGGCATCTTATGCTTCGGTGGCTTCTAATAATGATAGAGTGAGAGATAGAGTGGAGAAATCATAAAAAGGTGACAATTGCAAGGGAGCTTGAAGAGATTCTTGTACCATTTTCGTTGTTTGAGCATTGTCACTTTTTTTTGTACATCGTATAATAACATGTTTCTAGGATGTAACACTGAAAATTAAATAAGATGATTTTAACAATTTCCCACATTCAATAGCTATTTTACAAATATGATTTTTTGATCCATAATTGCCCAGTGGATCCATTATGGTTTGGTTATCCGTTTTGGCAAAAAAACATATACATTTTCAAAACTTGACATTGATTTACCGGCTAACATTTATCATGTGAGTTAGATATCAGATTTCGTTCAAAATAAATGTACAGCTGTCTTTTCTTTCCAATATTTTGTAAATATGCTCTTTTGTAATTGAAATTCAAAATGATTATTAAATATTCTGACCTTATTATAAAATTTCTTTTTGTACTGTTAAAATAAAAGTGAATTTATCAATTCTCAAACAAAGTCAAACAATAATCTTAAATTAAAAAAACAAAACATAATCAGTTTATCATATAAAAAAACATATGTTGAGACTTGAGTGGAAAATTGCATTTTGAGATTTTTTCTAGTCGTGAGGATGTTCGGTGAATTCTCATACTTTACGGCACGGGTGCATTTTGTCCTGATGATACAGTTCATTTCTAATGCATGTCACTCCCTTCTCGTGACAATGGAGGTTAGTCTATCAGGTGACAGGACTACTTTAGAATGGGCGATGACAGAAATGCTTTTACCTCTAATGTTAGCTTGTACGTTTGCCTGGATCGGCGATTGCCACACCGAAAGGTATTTCATAGGTATTTTACACATGATATGCCCGTTGATTTACGTTCCAACGCTCCTTCTGGCAAGATTATTGAGCTCGTTTCACATAATTGCTTTGCTTTTTTTCAACTTCGGAAAACTAACCCTGACTGTTTACGAAGCGTCAAAAGGAATATTCTACTCGGTGATGATGGATCAAATTGACATGGACTCGTTACCCGACAACGAAGGCATCTTGCGAAAATTCATCTTCTATTTATATTTTTGCTTTTACTTAGGTCGTTTCTCACCGTTGCTGCTGTATGGTTGGTTTCGTTTGTCTGATGGCGCCATTATTGCAGTGACATCTATTTTTTATTTCTTACATTTAATCTGCACGTTGTTGGTGATTGTAGGCTTTTTTGGAATATATATTGCACCGACCGACAAGCACTTCCTACCTACGTGTTTAACGCTGATTTTGAAACATAATATAAAACTGTTTATGATTGATGGTCCGGAATTAACCGAAGATATTATGATGGCCATCAAATTATTAATTCTTCTTGTCACACTAAGTTGGGTGAGTATAACCCACGTGATGGGTAAAATATTTGAGCAAACTGTAGTGGATTCATTGAACTCTTCAGATCATGTGGTGTTATTTTTTACGGTTCTTTTCTTTACAAGCCTATTTATTGCTATTGTCTTAGAACTCATTTTACAGCCATTCTTAAGAAATGAAACGCTTTTGAAAAGTCCGTTTCACTATATTGCACTATCACTTGTATTAACTGTAGTAGCAATGGTACTCAGAGGTTTTTACTTGCATGCTAGAGAAATGGAACATATATCGCAACCACGACAGGAAGGTTACTGTCAATTAAGATTTTTTAATTCTCTAGGTGAGACGGTTTTCGTTCAATCGGGAAGTGAATTTGATATTAAGATTAAACCGTATGCGGCTGCTTATTTCCTCAAGATTCCAGCGAGATCGGCACGAACAATTCTAATTACAACAATCGAATGTTCGTTTTGTTCAGTTCTGCACGTTCAAGACCGTTTTTCATATTCATACATCATACATTTGGACAGCGTTACGGAGGAGCTGGTACAAAATCCCTTAGAAGACAATTGGCAACTTAGATCGGATACTGCATATTTTTTCCTTTTGGACAGTAGACTGACAAACGTTTTAACGTTTTATAACGAAGACAAAGTGTCGGTAATAAACAGTACGTCAGAACGACAAGTAATCTATTCAATACCACCCGGAGTTTACACTGTTCACATAAAAACGAATAGCAGTGAGGCAATAGTTGGTCCAAAAAGGCTAAAGCCAGCTTATGTTTACTGCCTATTTATTCACTCACTAAACAACGATACTTCCGCAATTAGAGGAAAATTTTTTTTCAACACTTTGACAACCGACGAGAATTACTATTCACTTTTATTCCAAGGCTTGCTATTTTCACTCGCGCATGTGATAATGTTCGTCACTATCCTATTCTACATACAAACTGAATCTTCTGTGTCTTCGAGAGGCACGGTTTTTACCTGGGCGCTGACATTATTCCAATTGACACATAAATTGATGCACGTTAAAAAATTTATTTTCAGCAAAATTACTACGATCACGCATTACTCAACAGCATTCTTCCTTGGGGCCTTTATTATTGCGGCTATGAACTCTGCACTACGCTACAAATTTACACAATACTCGTTAAAATAAAATAAATGTTTTAGATCCAGCTGTAATTTTTTTTCATGCCAGTAATACATTACACCAATAAAAACAACGTAATTTTATGTGATAGTATTTGTTAAATTCCTTATTCAGGAAAGCAAGTTGAATAGCTTTCGATGAGCGTTAAATTCTTTTCTTAACTTTTTATTCTTCTGCATCCACCCTTAATAACTTACAGTGCTCGCATTTAGGGAAATAACTCTAAATCGAATTTTCCTATGCGCCACGTAGTGCAAAATGATGCTCTAAGTACGATTACAGAGGTTTACGTTGTTCTCTGTTAAATTACATTTGGAATACAATTTTTATTGTTTTGTATAATGCCTGGGTTTTTAAAATATATTTTCCCCTAAACTAATTTACTGTTGAACTAGTTTCATGTACATTTTAAGATAAACTGCTTGTTATATTTAATGCAGACTAGGTGACAAAAGTGCAAAACTGCCCTGGATGCAACTGAATACAACTATGTAAAGTATGACATTTTACTGATAAACCAAACAAAATTATGACTAATTCTTAATTAAAAAATTCTTTCTCCGCCCGAAGAATAATTGCAAAGGAATTAATATAAAGACTTTAATTACAATTGTGTAACAAAGGACTTTAATTAAATCATAAAATAAAGAATACAAACAAAAGAATCACGTTTCTGCAATGCGTCAGTGCATTTTTAAACAAGAAATAAATACGGTATGATGAGAAGTCTTCGAAAACTGTAGATTGAGAAAGTGATGAATCCACGTTAATTGCTCAAGTCCGCAAATTTCGTCCGATCAAAATTACGTTCCGACCACGGGAAACAAGAGAGACTGTCCGAGGTTCTATCCATTCTGGTGGTAGAGCCTACGGAGGCATGACCATCTTATGTCGATAACTTCCAGGCTCAAGAAGTCGTGACCATCTTCAGACTTCAGTCAATCGCGGTGCGTTTGGAGACCCCGGTGTGTTTCACCCTCTGCTTCATTTACCTACCACAGGACGGATTGTGGTGAGAGGGTGAGGTCTGAGCCTTGCTGGGTCAGCTCCCCCGGCCGTTGTTGTTGATGGGAGACTTTAACTCTAATAACTCCTAGTGGGGGAGTGAAAGGACCAACAGTAAAGCTAGAGTATTGGCGCGCCTGCTAGAAGACACTGACCTAACCCTACTCAACAACGCACATAAACTTATTCAACGGAAGTACGTCAGTGATCGACTAGAGCAATGTTTCATCCTCCCTTGTAGGAAGGGTGGAATGGAAAGTCCTCGATGGCCTTTACCAGAGTGATCATTTCCCCACAGTCATTAAAGGTTTATGGAGGAAAGCGGAATACCGGACGGCCAAAAAGTGGAACTTAAATAAGGCGACCTGGGATTCTTATGCTTCTGCAATATGGATGCCTTCATTGACAGGAGACATAGTGAAGGATCTCCTAAAAAGTACCAAAAAAAGAGGGATTGATGAAGAAGTTTCCCTTGCTATGGTGGAACGACGGATCGAGTTTAAAAGAGCAAGAGCCAGAGAAAGGTGTTCCCTGACACGAATAAAAAAAAAAAGCTTTGAGGAGTAAGTTGGCGGTTTGACCTTACCGGCCTCCTCCAAGAAAGTGTAGAGCAGGGTGAAAGAAATATCTTGACGACTTAAGCCCCTGTCGCTGCCGACGTTCAGGTCCGTCCGGGGGGAAGTTATCAATGAGCCAGCTGTGCTCGCTGAGGAGCTAGTCAATCAATTCTGCACAGTATTTAGTTCGTCGCCTTACAGTGACAGATTCAGAGAACATAAAGAAGAAGCTGAGAAGAAGGAGCTGGATTTGAGCGGTGGCTCCATGGAGAGCTACATTCTCCCCCTGACGTTCGGGGGATGGAGTCCGCGTTTGGCCAAAAAAATCCAATTGGCAAAACAAGAATTAGAATTTATGGGTCATTTAATATCTTTCAATAGAATTCGCATCAACCCCGAACGTATAAAACACTTAACAGCCGTTCAGAAACCCAAAAGTTTAAAAAGTTAGCTTCTTACCTTGGAGCTTTGAATTACTTAAAACAGTACTTCCCAGAATTATCTAACACAGCTAAACCTTTACACGAGTTAAAACGCAAAAACACGGACTTTATTTGGAGGAATGAGCATACCGTTGCTTTCGAAAAGATTAAACACATTTTAACCACAGAACCTATCCTAAAAATTCCAGAATTTAACAAAGATAATGAGTTTTGTTTATTTACTGATGCGTCCGAAACTGCGATATCCGGAGTTTTATTCCAAAGGGAAAATGAGAAATACCTGCCCATTCATATGTCCAAATCGTTCAACAAAAATCAAAAAAATTACTCTATCATTGAAAAGGAATGCTTAGCGATTGTATACGGGGTACAGTACTTTTCAAGTTACCTTTCTTATAATAAATTTAAATTATTCACTGATAACCAGAGTTTAATGTGGTTATATAACAGACCTGGGGAAACAAAAGGTAAATGGGCAAGATGGATAGCATTTCTTAATGGTTATGACTTTGAAATTAATCATATCCCTGGTAACAAAAATGGTGTAGCTGATTTACTATCTCGGGCTGAATTAAATAGAGAAGAAATACCGAACAATTTTGAGCTAGAATTAGAAAATAATATAGGTTATGGACTTACTTAATAGAGTTCCCCGAACTCTTTGAAAGCCTAATCGAGTCGTAAAATAAAGATGAAATTTCTTTAAAAATAATTGATCAGATATGACAAGGCATATGCGTACAAAATTATCATATTAATTCTAAAAACGGGCTTTTATACTTCCAAACTAAAACAATGCGATCTCCAAAAATTTATTTACCTATTATTTTAAGGAAGTTGGTATTCGACTACGCGCATAGCAGCATATTCGGTGGGCATCTTGGCATTTCAAATACTGTACATAAAATTCAAAAGCACTTTACATACCCTTATTTAAAGAAAGATATTATAAGCCGATGTAAAAGTTGTAAGTTATGTGCCGAATTTACAAACTCCAATTTTACGAAATTTGGTTTCATGCAGTCCCAAATCGAAACCCAACCTATGGAAAAGATTTACATTGATTTTTGCAAATTAACTAAAACAGATCGGGGAAATTTATATTTATTTATCGCGGTCGATAGTTTCTCAAAATTTTTATGGGCAATTCCCACTACCAATCAAAAAACTGAAACTGTATTAAACATATTAAGAGATCACATATTTGCTCAACATGGTATTCCAAATTTTATTATATCTATTTTTCGATCTGCACAATATAAAAAATTTCTTTTTAAATATGGTATAACCTACATTTTTGGAACAAGTTACCGTCCACAAGGAAATATGGCAAAAAGATATGTGGCAAATATAAAAAATGCGGTAAGGGTCAATTGTTCCAGTAAACACAATAACTGGGATGAATATGTTGCCTGGATCACCGCAAATTTAAATAATTGCATTAATGAATCCACTAAGTTATCCGCCGCGGAAATTTTTCTAGGTCGTAATATCAAAGACTTTGAAGTTGAAGTCGTTGGTCGTCTTCTGGTCGTTGTTTACTTCTGACTGGATGTTCCGGTAGAGCAGGTTTCACATCATTAACCGATTGGCTGCTATATCGCTATATTTTGGGATTGGGTTTTGATTTTCTAGAAAGTGGATATTTTCAATAAGAAGAATATTATTCTCCTTCAAGGCTGCGTCCGTATCCTCAAGTTCGAGGACTAGTTTAAACAGTATGATTTCCCTAAGTTGATCTTTATCACCTTGTTGAACCGCTCAGCAGGAAGTACAGATTATACGTGGATTATTGATGTTTTGTGGTACTGTTTCCCAAACATCTCCCGTGAAAACAGCTACCGCAGGGGATACATATCGCGTTTGAAAATGACTTCGTAAGTAGTGGCGACTTAATTTAAAGTAGGTTTTAGATGGTCCTTCCGAGGACGTGTGGTCGTCGCCCGCCATGTTGGAATGAATAATGAAATGTAACAAGAGAGTATTACCAGAGGCTCAAAGAAATTTGGCTAAATATTCGGTCGATTGTTCCACCGCTATCAGTTGATCGTATGAACAAATGGGAAAAATTTGATAAAATTGAAAAAATTGGTTACTCCCATGCACACACGCCTAATCACTTTCATAGGCAAAAAATTGCCCGAGGCATTTACGATGTAGTTATGGTAGTTATAGGCCACATTCCTCATGTACTGCTTACGCTTCAACCACACCGCCGGTACAATGGATCAGCAAGTTACGTTGTTTAAAATGTGGAGACAAACACTTAATAAAATATTGTCAAAAATCCGATGATAATCCGTCTTGCGTACTCCCTCGAAAGAGCCACCTTGGGAATAGCAAAATATGCGAGAAAAAAAAAGAGGAAGAAAACAGGGAAAAAATAGAAATCCGGATTGTTCCGAAACAACTTAATGTGAGTAAGAACCATCTTTTGAAAAAAAGGACTGAACTCCACACTCACTCCATCATTCATAATTTCTATGAATTTGCTAGTCAAAGCACTAGTGGATTATAACACAATCAATAACCTTACCTCCACTTACTTCAAATCTGCTAATAAACAATTACTTTTAAATCTTTATTATAAATTGAGACTTTCAAGCTCAGAAATTAACAAATCAATCTGGTTCAAATCCAAATGTTTAAATTAAATCTAACCCCAAAATTCGTTCTTGCTAAATTAAATAGAACTGTTCAACTCTCGTACAACGGAAATGCCAAAAAACCATTTTAAATAATGAATTACATAAATTGTACAGTCAAAGAGATGCACAACGTTTTTATCAATATATTGTACTCATTAAACTTGCGTCATTATTGTCTCCAGTAGAATGGGACGAATTTGATTATGGTACGCGATCTAAAATTAAAATTATCATTGATAAAAAACAAACTATACTAGATAAAAAAGATCTTATTATAAAAAAAATTTTATACTGTTAAAATAAAAGTTAAACTATCAATTCCCAAACAAAGTCAAACAATCTTAAATTTAAAAAACAAAACAATCAGTTTATCATATGTAAAACATATGTTGAAACATGAGTGGAAAATTGCATTTTGAGATTTTTTCAAGACGTGAAGATGTTCAGTGAATTTTCGTACTTTACGCCACGGACGTATTTTGTGCTTGTGACACAGTTCATGCTGAACGCATGTTACTCCTGCGTCGCGAAAATTGACGAAAATCTATGGCATGACAAGAGTATTTTAGAATGGGCGATGGCAGATTTACTTTTACCTCTAATGTTAGCTTCTATGTTTGCCTGGATCGGTGATTGCCAAACCGAAAGGTATTTCGTAGCTATTTTATACTTGATATGCCCGTTGATTTATGTTCCAACGATTTATCTTGCAAGATCATTGAAATGGCTTATTTTTATTTCTAAGTTACTTTTGATCATAGGAAAAGTATCCCTGACTGTTCACGAAGCGTCAAAAGGAGTATATTACTCGGTGGTCATGGATCAAATTGACATGGACTCTTTACCCGACTACGAAGGCATCTTGCGAAAATTCATCTTCTATATATATTTATCCTATTACTGTGGTTATTACTCACCGATGCTGCTATTCGGTTGGTTTAAGTTGTCTTCTGGCGCCGTTATTGCTGTGACTTCTACTTTTTATATCTTACATTTAATCTGCACGTTGTTGTTGATTATAGACTGTTTTGGAATATATATCGCACCGAGCGACAAGGACGTCCTAACTACGTGTTTGGCGCTTACGTTGAAACATAAGTTAAATTTGTTTACGATTAACGGACCGAAATTAACGGAAGAAATTGTGATGACCGTCAAATTATTAACCCTTCTTGGGACAGTATCTTGGGTGAGTTTAGAAAAAGTGATTGGTGATTTAGTTGGTAAGTCTATACTCGATTCAATGGATACTGAATATAATGTGGTGATATTTTTTACGGTTATGTTCTTAATAACCACATTCATTGCTTGTGTCTTAGAACTTGTTTTTCAGCCATTCTTAAGAAATGAAACGCCTCTCAAAACTCCGTTTCACTATATTGCAATAGCAACTGTAATATTTGTAGGGGCAATGGTACTCAGAGGTTTTTACTTGCATGGTAGAGAACTGGAACAAATATCGCAACCACGACTGAGAGGACACTGTCAATTAAGATTTTTTAATTCTCTAAGTGACGAGGTTTCCATTAAAGTGAGAAGTTACAGTTATATTAAGATAAAACCGTATGGGGCGGCCTTTTTTCTCAAGATTCCAACGCGTTTGGCAATAAAAGTTCTAATTACAACAAACCATAGTTCGTTTAGTTTAGATCTGCACGTTTTGGAACTTTACTCGTATTCATACATCGTACATTCGGACAGAATTACGGAGGAGCTGGAACAAAGTCCCATACGAGACAAATGGAAACTCCGATCGGATACTGCATATTTTTTCCTTTTGGACAGCAAACTGGCAAAAGTTTTAACGTTTTATAAAGAAGGCAAATTGTCTAAAACGTACAATATGTCAGAACGACAAAGAATCTATGCAATACCACCGGGAATTTACGCTGTTCACATAAAAACGAATAGCAGTGAGACAACAACTAACGCAAAATGGCTAAAGCCAGGTTTTGTTTATTGCCTATTTATTCACTTGATACAAAACGATACTTCCGCAATTGAAGGAAAATTTTTTTTCAACACCATGAAAAGCGACGAAAATTACTACGCACTAGGAGTGCAAGGTTTGATGTTTTCAGTCGGGCACATGACGATGTTCGTCACTATCATGTTCTACGTACAAACTGAATCTTCTGTGTCTTCGAAAGGCACGGTTTTTACCTGGACGATGATTTTGTTCCATTTGGCAGATAAAATAATGCACGGTAAAAAAGCTATTTTCAGCAATGCTACTTCACTCACGTATTACACCACAGCATTTTTTCTTGCGGCCTTTATCATTGTGTCTATTAATGCTGCACTACGATACAAATTTACAGAATACTCGTTAAAATAAAATAATTTTTTTAGATCCAGCAGTAGTTTTTTTCCGAAAAAACAATGTATTTTGTGTGAAGACATTTCTTAAATGCCTTATTCAGGAAAGCTAGTTGAATAGCTTTCGTTGAGCGTTAAATTCTTTTCTTAACTTTTTATTCTTCTGCATCCACCATTAATAACTTACAGTGCTCGCATTTAGGGAAATATCTCTAAATCGAATTTTCCTATGCTCCCCAACATGTGCAAAATGATGCTCTAAGTAAGATTACAGGGGTTTACGTTGTTCTCTGTTAAACTACATGGTAGTAAACCTAAACATACGTTGCATAACAAACAGCCTACATCAGTAGAGCATTGTAAATTTTTATAATTCAAGCACATATAAAACACCTTTTACTTATAATGCGGAAGACTGGAATTACCATGTAGCAAATAGAATTACCATAGTACATATTGTTTGAAAAATAATGAACATACTGTGATAACCAACGTCAGTAATATGGGGTGTTTACTGGGGTAGAAGCAGAACTACACGGGCATAGGAAAAATTAACTACTGTATTAAAAGGTAATAACTACAAGATAAGAGAGCTTACGGGAAATAGATTCATCAAGTATTACAATCATTCCCTTGTGAGAAGTATAGGTGTGGATGTAGCAATGGCGGGGGTGAAGGCTTTCGGTAATGTCCATATCTTGGGAAGACGGGACAAGGGGACAGCTTTAAAATTAAAATTTTTTGTAATAATTTGTTGGAATAATGGATATTACAATACGTTAAAAGAAAATGTGCCTGCTAATGTGCTGGTTGAAAGATTACTGTTATAAATAATGTATAACCAGATGTTAAGCCTTTGTGTATTTGTTGATTTGTAGGTACTTGAATATTGTAGTTCGGTTGTTTAAGTTGTCTTTTGGCGCCATTATTGCTGTGACTTCTACTGTTTATATCTTTCATTTAATCTGCACGTTGTTGATGATTATAAGCTGTTTTGGAATATATATCGCACCGAGCGACAAGGACATCCTAACTACGTGTTTCGCGTTTACGTTGAAACATAAGTTAAATCTGTTTACGATTGACGGACCGAAATTAACCGAAGAAATTATGATGACCGTCAAATTATTAACCCTTCTTGGACAGTATCTTGGGTTAGTTTAGAAAAAGTGATTGGTGATTTAGTTGGGAAGTCTAAACTCGATTCAATGGATACTGCATATAATGTGGTGATATTTTTTACGGTTATGTTCTTAATAACCACATTCATTGCTTTTGTCTTAGAACTTGTTTTTCAGCCATTCTAAGGAATGAAACGCCTCTCAAAACTCCATTTCACTATATTGCAATAGGAATTGTAATATTTGTAGCGGCAATTGTACTCAGAGGTTTTCACTTGCATGCTAGAAAAATTGATATGTCGGAACCACGACTGAGAGTTCACTGTCAAGATTTTTCAATTTTCTAGGCAACGAGGTTTCCCTTCAAGTGGGAAATAACTTTGGTATTAAGAGTAAACCGTATGGGGCGGCTTTCATTTTCAAGATTCCAGGCTATGTTTACTGCCTATTTATTCACTCGCTAAAAAACGATACTTCCGCAATTAGAGGAAAAATTTTTTTCAACACCTTGAAAAACGACGAGAACTACTACGCAGAAGTATTGTAAGGTTTGATGTTTTCAGTCGGACAAATGATGCTGTTCGTCACTATCCTATTCTACATACAAACTGAATCTTTTGTGTCTTCAAAAGGCACGGTTTTTACCTGGACGATGATTTTATTCCATTTGGCACATAAATTGATGCACGTTGAAAAGGTTATTTTCAATAACGTTACTTCACTCACGCATTACAGCACAGCATTCTTCCTTGGGGCCTTTATTATTGCGGCTATAAACTCTGCACTACGCTACAAATTTACACAATACTCGTTAAAATAAAATAAATGTTTTAGATCCAGCTGTAATTTTTTTTCATGCCAGTAATACATTACACCAATAAAAACAACGTAATTTTATGTGATAGTATTTGTTAAATTCCTTATTCAGGAAAGCTAGTTGAATAGCTTTCGATGAGCGTTAAATTCTTTTCTTAACTTTTTATTCTTCTGCATCCACCATTAATAACTTACAGTGCTCGCATTTAGGGAAATATCTCTAAATCGAATTTTCCTATGCGCCACGTAGTGCAAAATGATGCTCTAAGTAAGATTACAAGGGTTTACGTTGTTCTCTGTTAAACTACATGGAAGTAAACCTAAACATGCGTAGCATAACAAACAGCCTACATCAGTAAAACATTGTAAATTTTTATAATTCATGCACATACAAGGCTCTTTTTCCTTACAATAGGGAAAATTTGAATTACCATGTGGCAATTAGAAAGAATTACCGTAGCATAATCCTGGAAAAGTAGTGAACATACGTTAAAAGAAAATGTGTGTCTCCTAATGTGCTAGTTGAAAGATTACTGTGATAAATAAAGTATAGCCAGATGTTAAGCCTTTGTGTATTTGTTGATTTGTAACGTAGGTATTCGATTTTTTTGGTCTTAATTTTCTTCGTCATAGAAACACTTTTGCTGAAATAACACTAGTTCACTTACAGATTCCGTCTTCACTTGCGGGTTTGTTCAACTTCTCAAAAGCGTTTGTTATGAACAAGATGAACACAAACAAAAACCTATGTTTGGATCAATGTTTAGCTGTTTAAAACTATTGAGGTGAATTTTTTTAAATAAGTTGAACAAAGACTATGAAAAAATAAATACAAAACTGTATCTTTGTCTGTTTTACGATTATAAGGAAAAAATCGTCAAAATGGGATCTGTAGGTTTCAAGTTTACCTGTTACATTCAAACCAACTTTCTCTTTTTATAATATCAGTATAGACATGGATGAAATGTGGAAAACAGGTGTGTGTTTCTACAATGGTTGAAACATTTTACTCTATTTTAATTTTTATTATAACAAAACTGATTCCCTCCCTTAACGCGTAAATCAAAAGCCTTGGTAAGTGCGACATACTACAATATTCCTACTCATGCCCAAATGCCTGGATACTAAAAAGATTTTACCACCAAGGGTCCATAGGAGGCTCATAAGGAAAAGACACGTAGATCTTCAAAGTAGTGACAGTAATATCATTTTAATTTTTTTTTAGTGACAGTAAATTAATTATATGCATTTAAGTTTTACTGTTGTTACAATGTTCTTTGTTTTCTTTTATGTTATCTAATCAATAGTAGTATTCAAATTCACTAATTTCGTGTTCCGCTTGACCAATTAATATATTACAATTAATTAAGGTTTTTAGTTGAGATAAAAAAGTCAATGGCACGAGCGTGATTCGAACCCACGATCTTCGGCTAGATACACCGCTGCTCTATCATTTGAGCTATCGTGACTTCGATCCACTCGGACACTAACTTCCCATCTCAACCCCACCTTTTGAATTTTCCCTCCTTTTTGCCATTTTTCAAGCGGTGGTAGTGGATGGTGTTAGTGTTGAGTTTTTCACCTCAACGAAGCCGACTCCTTATACAAAAATGTCTTTTTTACACCGACTTCCTTCCCCACCCCTTCAAAATCCAACGTATATAAACATAAAACAGCAAAATTTCACTGGCACTCTCAACAGGACACGCAAGAATGGCACAATTACACAAAACACAAACACTTTGAGTGAGTAGAAATACTTTGATTGAATATAAAAAATACATTTTGCATTGTATAAATTCACTTTTCCACATCCTAAATGTATTTGTTAATTGTAAACAATGTTTGTAAATCCCAGGCCCTGAAGATGATCTCAATAAAAATCGAAACGTTGGCACGATAAATAAAATGTTTTTCTGAAACCTACATTACACCAGACCGCATCTCACGATTTCTGAATAATTTTGTGTATTTGTTGATTTGCATCGTACGTATTTTATTTTATTGCTCTTATTTTTTTATTTATTGCACTCATCAACATCTTATATTGTTTTTAGTATTTATTGTTTTGTGTAATTCCTGGGTTTTTGAAAATATATTTTCCCCTAAATTTGTTTAATCTTGAACTATTTTCATTAAGATAAACTGGTTGTTAAATTTAATGCAGACTGGGAGAAAAAAGTGCAAAACTGAATACAACTGTGCAAACAAATTTTAATGTTTAATAAATAACGAAAATTTCGTTTCTCATTTCGTTCCTGTTGCGGACACTATAGCTTAATTTAACTTTAGTTAAGTTATTTCCGTCTTTTATTTTGTTTTTGGATCGAAGTAAAGATCCGAACCTGACAATATTATTGAGTACCAATGCATCGTCTCAGCATGGCGAGTGTCGCACCCGGGGCCGGTTGAAACAATTGGGAAAAGTGGCAGTTTAGGAGTGAATTCGCGAATATCAGCTGCAAAATATGCCATCGTCCTCATGGAATCCCCGGCGTAATAAATACCAACGAATATTTTCTCCACTCTTGTTTTTAAGTTTGTATATATTACCTTGCTCATTGTTGTTATCTACTTGAAGTTAGTTGTAATGTACTGCAAATTAAAAAAAGAGGGTATTAATAAGATAAAGATATTACCGCAGTTGGTCGTTGAGTTGGCTACGTAGTTGGTGTTTGATCGTAGAGGGTCTGTGACGGCCACTGGCTATACGGATGAAATTTTGCAACATCATGCGTAGCCTATCCTCGATGAAATCAGCGACAATCCTATTCTAATGCACGATAATGCCCGTTCGTGTAGTACAAACGTACCTTCAACAACATAACATCAGGGTCTTAGCCTGGCCAGCCCGTTCTCTAACTTGAACCCCATCGAACATTTATGAGATACCCTCAAAACACGAATAAGAGCACGTCTATCACTTCCTGCTATACTCGATCTTCAAAGGACTTTTCGTGAATAATGGGCCAACCTTCAGCAAGAGACATTTTCAGACTGCCAAGGCGTCTTCGAGATGTATTTAAAAACTAATTTTTTTGTCCGTCTTTGTTTTTCATTTTCATTAGCAATTTACATTTTTGTTTACTTTTTTAGACAAAGACTCAATTATTAAACTTAAAAAAACGTGAAACTTTGATTGTAAAAATGTATGCAAATCAAATTATATTACAAGTGGGTGGAATTTTTTGCCTGTCAGTGTATTTCTGCTCAAGGCAGATTATGACCCTCTGTGGTTATTTAACTTAATTATAATAATAAAAAATAAAAATAAATCATCATAGAATACAAACATATGTTGTTTTCAAACGTATGTGGAACATTTTATTTTTACACATCAAGACCCGAAAATGTTCGGTGAACTATCGTACTTTCCGCCAAGGGCGTATTTGTTACTTGCGACGGTGTTGGTCCTAAATGTTTGTTACACTTGCACCAACAGCGTAGCCGCGGAACTAGCGAGAAGGACGAGTTCACTGGAATGGGCAATAACAGATGTGGCAGGCCCTATATTTTTTGCTGGTTTATTTGCCTGGATTGGCGATTGCTGGATAGAAAGGTATTTCATAGCCTTGATAAACCTAATATGCCCGTTGATTTTCGTCCCAACATTGTTCCTAACAAAAGCGGCGGGTAAGATGAATTTTTTCCCTACGTTCTTTTTCTACATGAGTAAAATATCCCTGACCATTTACGAAGCGACAAAAGGAATATACTACTCGGTGGTCCTAGAACAAATTGACATGGACCTATTACCGGACAACGAAAGCATAGTAAGAAAATTCGTCTTCTATTTGTATATGAGTTTCTATGGAGCGCAATACCTAATGAT